CCCTGGGCTGAGCGGCGCGCGGAGATGACGTCACAGCGCCGTACCGAGCCATTTTTTTTCCTGGCCGCGCGGCTCGCGGTAATGACGTCACTTTTAGACGGATCTGGGAGCGGCGCGAGGTGATGGCGTCACGGAGCTGTTGGTGCCGCCATATTGGGAGTGACGACCTTCTACGGGGGGGAGGAAGGGCTGTACGTCGCGGAGTGATTGCGTCATCGGACCGCGACGGGGGTGCAGCGCCGCCATCTTGGGGGGCGCAGGGGAATGGGCTGCGCGAGGGATGCATGCGGTCCCATCACCCCCACAAAGGGTTCCCCGTGGCCCTCTCGCCCCCCGTGGCCTTTCGCTATGGTTCCCCATGGACGTGCCCCGAGCGACTCCCGTGGCCACGTCATGGAAGGGTTTCCATGGTTCCCTCGTCTCCAAAGGAGATGTCACCTCTCAAAACAGTCCTGTCCCAAAGGATCCTCGAGTGCCCCTTTGTACCCCTCAAAGGGTCCCCGTCATCCTGTCAGCCCCAAAGTGTGCTCACGGTCCCCAAAGGTCCCCATGGTCCCATCACCCACCAGAGGCTCTGCGTGGCTCTGCCCCAAAAGGTCCTCGTGGTCCTGTGCACCCACCCAAACATCTCCATGGTCCCATCACCCACCCAAGTCCCCACGGTTATATCGCTTTTAGAGGGTCCCTATGGTCCTGTCACCCCCAAAACACCCCCATGGACTCGGCATCCCCAAAGGTTCATCCCCAGATGGTCCTGTCTTCCACCAGAAGATCCCCATGGTCCCATCACCCACCAGAGGGTCCTCACGGTCCTCTCACTCACTGGAGTCCCCAGGGTTCTGTCACCCCCAAAAGGTTCCCATGGACTCAGCATTCCTAAGTGGTCCCCATGGCCGTGTCCCACAGGATTCCCCATGGTCTCATCACCCCTAGATGAGTTGCCATGGTTCCAACACCCTCAAAAGGTCCCCATGCTCTCATCACTCACCATAGGGTCCCCCCTGGCTTTGCCCCACAATGTCCCCATGGTTGCGGTCAGGGTGACACTAGGAACAGAATGGCACTGGGGACAGAGCCCAGAATGGTGACAGAACCCAACCAGCACCAAGTCACAGTGACACCAACTACATTTATTGCTGAGGGACAGAAACCCATTGAGATCAGGACCTGGGGGACACAGCCGTGCCGCGGTGACATCCAAAGTCACACACTGGTGGCCTGTCCCTCATCCCCACCCTCGTCCCGGCTCTGTGGCCGCCGTCCCATCCTGCCGGGGTGGCGCAGCAGCCGGGCGATGGCATCCTGCAGCTCGCCGTGCTCCCTCTCCAGTGCCACCAGCCTGCTCTCCTGCCAGGGGATTCGTCAGTGCCACCACCACCACGTGGCCCTGTCCTTGTCCCTATCTCCAGGGTCCCAGTGTCTTACCAGCGCTCTGCCCCGGTCCTCGCTTGCCTTCAGCCTCTCCAGGTCATTCTTGCGGGTCCCTTCAGCTGCCGTCAGCCTAAAGCAGCGCAGGTGAGCCCCAAAGATTTGAGGCCTTGAAGATTTGATCGAGGGTATGGGGATATTGAGGCTTTGGGGACACCACAGCTTTGGGGACACTGAGGTTTTGAGGACACCCAGGATTTGGGAACACATGGGCTTTGGGGACGTAAAAGCTGTTGGGACATCAAGGCTTTGGGGACACCAAAGATTTGGGAACACACGCGGGCAAAAGTCAGGCTTTGGGGATACCAGGGTTTTGGGGATATCCGGGCTTTGGGGACATTGAGACTCTGGGGACACCTGGGTTGTGGGGACAACGAGCCTTCAGGGACGCCTGGGTTTCGGGAAAATTGGGGTTTTGGGGACACCCGTGCCTTGGTGACACCCACCTGGCACCCAGGTTGGCCGTCCGTGCGTTGCTCTCCTCCAGCTGCAGCCGCAGGCGCTCGAGCAGCTCTCGGTGCTGGCCCTGCTCCTGCTGCAGCCCACGCTGCTCGCCCTCCAGCTCCCTCACCTTCTCCTCCACCACCCGCAGCCTCTCCTGGCTTTCAGCCACCTCCTTCCGCAGTGCCTCGATCTGCCTCCCATGCTGCTGGGGACACGAGGACGGGTGTCAGCACGGTGTCCCTATGGGTGCCATCCATCCCGGCGCCGTGCTCCCCAGGTTACCTTCTCCAGCGGGCGGATGGCGTAGAGCTCACCCTGTGCCACTGACACCTCCTCAGCGTAGCGCTGCCACGGCACCGTGGGTTTACGTGGCAGTGACACCGATGGGCGAAGCTTTGAGCGGCCCTACAACATCGGGGCACACGACAGTGTCAGCACCCTTGGATGTGCAGCGGGGCAGGGGCTGCACACTGAGGCTGTGGTGACCTCAAAATGTCCCCATGGGCCTCTCATCCCTGTGGGTCTGTCATTCCCAAAGGGTCTCCGTGCACTGAGGGGTTCCCAGGGTCCCATCATCTTCCATGGGTCCCAGTGGAAATGCCGTCCCTCCTGGACCTCATCCCCAATGGGTTCACGTGGCTCTATCATCCCCAAAGGGTCCCCATGGATCTGACTTCCCCAATGGATCCGTCTTCTCCAGTGGATCCGTGGACGTGTCGCCCCGGTGGATCTCCATGGCCCTGTTGTCCTCACTGGTTCCCCATGGTCCTGTCCTCTCCACTGAGTCTCTGTGGATTTGTCATCCCCAAAATATCCCCATGCTCAGGGTTCCCCAGGACCGCATCATGGAGAGATCTCCATGGTCCTTCCATCCTGAAAGTGTCCCCGTGTTCCTGTCACCCCCAAAGGTACCCTTGGTCCTGTCTCAAAAGGTCCCCATGGCCCTGCCCCCGAGCAGATCCATGGACCCACCACCCACAGAAGAGTCCCCACAGCCATGCCACCCACCAAAGTGTCCCCATGGCCCTGTCTCCCCAATAGGATCCCATGGACAGACCCTCAGGGGTCTTCATGATCCCTTCATCCCCAAAGGGTCCACAAGAACGTGTCACTCCCAAAGCATCTCCACACCTCTCTCACCCTCAAAAGGTCCCCGTGGTCCCATCACCCACCAAAGAACCCTCTGTAGTCCTGCCCCAAACTACCCCCATTGCCTGGCTCCTAAAAGATCCCCACGGTCCCGTCACCCCCAAAGGGCTGCTCCCTAAAAGCTTCCCATGGTACCACCATCACCAGAGGGTCCTCATGGCCCTGTCCTCCACCAAAGTGTCCCCATGGCCCTAACCCCAAAAGCTCTCCACGATCCTTTCATCGCCAAAGTGTCCCCACGATCCTGTCCTCCACCAAAAGTCCTCCATGGCCCTGCCCTGAAATGTCACCATAGTTCCTCCACCGTCAAAGTGTCTCCTTGGCCCTGTCCCAAGAGGTTCCTATGGTCCCACCACCCCTAAAAAGCCCCCATGTTCCTGTCACCTCCAAAGGGTCCCCCACCCCCAAAAAGTC